AAAATACAACCGTGCGAAATAGGCAAATTTTGTATATTTTTGTACTAATTCTATCACACAGTCCAGTCATAATACAAAAGTGTAAAAATTTGCAACTTAGCACAGCTATATTTTTCTTTTTTTACAACATTTCACAGGCAATAATATACCTCTACGGAAACGCAATGAGAAGATTAAATCGGCCACTCGATGAGTTTGAGTGTTAGTAAGCTTTTATAGAATACAGGCGTAATACCGCTTATATAAAATATTGATCTATAACACATGCATAAACTCCATTATATCTTATTTACGGTAGTACTGGTAAACTGTCTTCAAAGAAGAACAGTATAGGAAAGATTATGTCGATTATGTTGGGGAAATTACATTTTCGTTAATTTTTTGTTAATTATGTTGCATGTAGTTTGTGAATAAGTAATATATTAAATTGTATTTAAGTTGTATAATGTTAACTTTAATTAAAATTCTTGGACATCACTATGATGTCCGAAATATGCATGTCAACAATAACTTCAAAGAAACGACCGTGCTCCTTGTAAAGCGATTTTTGGCGTTTGAACTATAAGGGGTTTAGTAGCCTAAATAGGATAAAATTTTCGATGTCGGCATATGTTTTTAAAAACGGAAGCTTGGGCCTTGGCAGTTTAAATGCTGTGGCGATGTTAGAAATCTTGCACGAGTTAAGACGTCGCCCGAAAGAGGTCTATTTTACATTCAAGGCTAGTTACTAAGGGTTCATCTAAATGAGTGCATGAAAAAAATAAAAACACATGACGACATTTCAAACACACATGCAAATTATGCGAAAAATTGTTGGTTTTTGCCAACGGTTCAACCCAATAAGTTATAAACTTGCACTCTTTGAAGAGAATCCTATTTTCACTTTGCCGGCATATTAATTATATTTGCAAATTTTTAATTGTAAATTGTTGAGTTCAAATGCTGTGAGACTTGTTTATCTTGTAGCAAGGTGATTGGCAAGCTTCTTCCCTTTCATGTAGTGCATAAACCTCCTTCAAGAGGCTATTTCGTTTGACCTTAGCGCCTAAAATAATTAAAAACTAAATTTCACGATCTCAGCATCTCATATTTTAAATAGTTAGTTGCTTTATGTCTATACTAAAGTGGAAAGTTATTACCACCACGCTTCCTTAGTGTGTAAATATTAGCAAAATATTCACGTTTGGAAGAAGTTATAAAGATATTCTCGGTTTTATATCCAACTGTTTGTACAAATATCATATAATTATTGCCGGCGATAGTTCGGGTGAATTAATTTGTATTGAAGATACACCTATTATGAATACTTCAGTATATTTATTTCATCGTGAAAGTGCCACTCTCTGCAACACTATTTTCGACTATTTTGATAGCTTTTTTATTTAGCCAATGATATTAGGAGAATATCATCATTTTTTTTAAGATTACAGAAACTGTATTTACTGTTGGACAGGGTATTGTGGCGTAACTCTGGGGATGAACCTTACCCAGTGGCGTAGCCAGAACGATAATTGGGGGGGCCCATATTCATATATTCGTGATACGCAGGATTAATTTCTTTTCAAATCAATTGTCTTTACAGTCTGTTTACATGAATATATGAATATGGGCCCCCCCAATTATCGATGCTGGCTACGCCACTGACCTTACCACGCCACATTCAGAGAAAAATACATATATTATAATAAAAAAATATTTAGAGGCGATCCGGCAGAAAAATTACTTTTGTGCTTTTTATTTGAATAACACAAGACAGTACTTTATAGGCCATTATAGGCCTTAGTAATGATTATGCTGATATAAATTTATATTATCAGTCATATAGTCTAAGGTGATGGGGAGAGCCTGAGTGCTGCGTCCATACAATATTTTACGTGCATTACCAATCAAAACTTTATTAGTGATGATATTTTTGGAAGGCCTAGAATTAGCGTGCTACAATGTTTTAAATGTGTATATAATGTCACTGTTTGTGTATGCAAACTCGTAATCTTTAACTATATAAATGCTGAAATATATTTCTACGATATATTTCTGCCAACTATAGTATACACGCGTACAAACTATTCAAGAAATTGTCACGTTTTTAAAACCCATAAAATTAATTAACTTAATCATGACTAGAAGGTAGCGTTTTATTTTACTGGTTGACTATTGAACAAGAATGTATCCAAACGTCAAAGCACGATTGCTCCAACGACGATTTCCACAAGTCTTTTCATTGATCTGTGTTCGATAGCCAATCCAAGAATCACACGTACGGCAATCGTTCTCGTTATTGGCAAAAAGTCCAATTCGCATTTTGGAAAGTACATTAAATCCTTCCCTGTTGCAGTTTTTCTGAAGTGACGAGTCCGCGATCAGGGATTTCCATGCTGCTCTACCAGCCCCCGTTGCCCTAAACTGGCCGTCTGCGATCACACTGTACAGCGAAGTTGCGGTGTAGTCGAGGGTCATCCATTTTCTGTCTCCGTTATACGACATACCCAGGCAAATCTGTTGGGTTATAGTTTCTTATTTCTTAATAAGTTGTATTTATAGTGTTTATAAACTCACTTTAATTAAATTTCTTGGCAAATGCTATAACCCCGTTGTCCGAGATATGTCAACAATAACTTGAAAGAAACGACCGTGCTCCCCTAAAGCGGCTAACAATTGTTACTTTCAGAATTGACAAATTTTTTCAATTCTTACTCTGAATATATTATTTCATGGTTTGCGACAATTGTGTTAACTATATACCGCGGTGGTTTAAATAAGTTAAAATCGAATTATCAGGATGTCTGCGTACATGAGTAAAATATTCCGTTAGTATCTTTGCAAAAACGGCAATTTGGTTTAATTAAATGCTGTCATTGTTGCATGCAATTTTTTTCATTTACAAGCATATCACATTGTAAGCTTCAATTTTATATTTATCTTGGTAGAATAATACACCGATGGCAAGACAGACAGTTCAAACTTTAATCACACGAATTAGTCTTCAAACACGATTTAGGCCATAATTTGTTGTTAATTTACTTACGGCGTGGACACTCTTATAAGAGGCAATTTTGTTAATACGGGGTTTAAATAATTAGAATCGAAATTTGCCTTTTGTTGTAATATTATATTTTAACTGAGAAACTAGTTTATTTTGTGGTGAGATGATTGACAAGCTTCTTTCTCCGTCATGAGTTGTGTTGCAAATTAACGCGACGCTCTCTGATAAACGATCCTATTAGTTTCAAGCATTTTTTTTCATTTACAAGTTTATCACATTGAATTCGAAACATTGAATTTGTATTTATCATGCATATGTAACTACTGTTTAAAATACACGGATGACAAGACGGACAGTTCAAACTTTAAACGCATGAATTACACGAATAATTTTTAGTAAACTACAAACGGTTTATCAAAATGAGTGATGATAATGGAGGCCCCTTTGAAATACTTAAAATCAAATTTGCATTTTGTCAGCATATCATGCATGTATACATATCAATTTCAATGATTCAGTTTCTATATTTACTAAAGCAGAAGTTTAGTTTAAATTCAGTTTAACTGGATTTTCTTGTATTAACATGATCGACAAGTTTCTTAGTTGAGTCGACCATTAAAATAATTTTTGAGTTGTTCTGAAAATTAACAACGCTAGCTGAAAATCGACCCCGTCCGAGTCTTAACTGTGCCTATTATAGTTTGTCATACATCCTGAAATAATTGTTGCAACGTACCTTCGTTTACAACATATCACATTATATAAATTTTGATAAGTCCGCTCAAACTGCAAACACACGACTGATTAGGCCATGTAAATTCTTGGTAATTTACAAACGGTTCGTCTGAATACGTCAATAAACAATCTTTCAAGAGGCCATTTTTTCAAAAACGTGGTTTAAAAAATTAAAATCAAATTTGAACTTTGTCGGAACAACTTGAAACATTTAGTTTCTGACTTAAGAGTTCAAATGCTGTGGAACTAGTTTATCTTGTATAGTAAGATGAATGACAAGCTTCTTTCTCCTTCAATTTGCGTTAGAAAATAACACTGCTGCCTGATAAACGATCTTGTTACATTCAAGTTAAGGCACTCGAGTTTAGCTGTGCTTACTATAGAATGCTATTGATGGAAAACGCTTCAAAAGTTTTTTCGTTTGATATAAGTGGTTGAAGTAATTTCAAATTTCACGATTTTCCCAACCTATATTTTATATTTGGGTTGTTATCTTTACGAAAAACGAAAGAATATATACTAGACCTTTTCAGCTTGCATGCAAATCAATCCATCTCAAATGTTGTGACTAAGGAATAGCCAATAAAACTTCCGTTTCAGGCCATGTGACTCGAAATGGGTTAATTTGCATACAAGCTGAAAACGTCTCTGATAGTTTGGGTCAATTTGTATTGAAAATAAACCTATCATAAATACTTATATATTTTATTCCATTGCGTAAACGCCGCTTTTGCAACATTGTTTCGATAGCTTTTTGATTTTTACAGAAACTGTATTTACTGTTGGACCTGGTATTGTGGCGTTGTACCCGGGGCGGGAGAATGCCTTCAGAGGAAAATACACATATAATAATTGTAAACGTTAGTAACAATCCGAAAGAAAAAATGAGTTTTGTGCGTTTTATTTTCATAGCACTACATATATATTCTAATTTCACAGATACAGTAGCTGCATGCTTTATAGGCCTAAAAATTATGCTGATAAAAATTTTTATTATCAGTCATAATCTAAGGTGTTGGGTGCATATATTATATTACCTGCATCTACTTTTTTGGCATAGACTGGAATAGACGTGCTACAATTTTTTTTAAATGTGTATGCAATGTCACCGTTTATGCAAATTCGTTACATTTACTATATAGCTAAATGCTGGAGTATTTTCTATACAATCGGTCCACTATAACCTACACGCGCACAAACTATTCAAGGAATTGTCATGTTTTTACAACCCATAAGTTAACTTAATCTTGATTAGAAGGTAGCGTTCTATTTTACTGGATTATTATTGAACAAGAATGTATCCAAACGTCGTCAAGTTTTTTTTGCCGTTATCGGGATGTATTCTAGCAACATTTCCACTTCCAGAGTCCTCCGCTCCATAGCCAAGCCAAGAATCACACGTATTGCAATCTTTCTCGTTATTGGCTACGAGTCCAATTCGCATTCTTGAATGTAGGCATTCATTATTAAACCCTTCCCTGTTGCAGCTTCTCTGAAGTGACGAGTCGGCGATCAGAGATTTCCATGCTGCTCTACCAGCGGTCGTTGGCCTGAATTGGCCGTCTGCGATCACACTGTACAGCGAAGTTGCTGTGTAGTTGAAACTCATCCATTTTCTGTCTCCGTTATACGACATACCCAGGCAAATCTTTGTGAACGGAGTATTCCAATACGAAGCCAACTTGCTTTCTTTCTCTGTCAATCCTTCCAGACCATCTTTCACTGCGTGTGTCTCTTTGTTTGTCCACAGGGAAGAACCATAGATAAACGTGTTCTGTAAAATCGAAAGCTTTTCATTAAAACTAACGTTATAACTATTGTTACAAATTGATTACTTAGAAGTGAACACGCACTCTATTCTTTACGACTACAATCTAACCTTAGTCCCATCAAGCTTCATCACTAGTGTCCAACCTCTAACGCCACATCCTGGGATATCTGTCATGTGACAATATTCCTTGTACGGTTTTGAGGAATTATTCTTCTTTAATGTGTAGACACCATTGAGCAATGATCTTGATATGGTAATAAAAAATTTTTCTTAAAAATTGTGGAATAAAGGTTGAAATTCATTGACTGTAATAGACCTTTGTCCACTGGTGTAAATCTATCTTTTTAACTTACGTATTCTTGACAAACAATTCTGTGCAAGATTGTGGAAAAACCTAAAAAAAAACGACAAGAACATATTCGTTTGGACTCATTAAAGCACGAAGATTTCTTTTCAGTGGCGTAGCCAGCCTGACGATTTTGTCCCGCGCTATGTAAATTTCGAGCTATTATAATTATTCATTTCTTTAGAAATCTATTGTTTTCACAGTCAATGAACACCAAAATATTAGCCTAGCGGGACAAATCATCAAGCTGGCTACCGTTACTGTTTCTTTTGTATTTAAAACTGATTTGTCAACCCTCAACCGTTTATCTTTCTGTTCTAGATCTTCAAATTAATTTCGTAAATCAGGAACAATATCTGGCTCAAAAGCATTTTCAATGCTTCAATATTGTGCAACATCACAAGTTGAATTTTCAAATATGATTTTTCCAAGATGAATTCAATACAGATTAGTGGTATGCCCACATTCTGTGGCGTAGGCAGCATGATAAGCGAGGTGGACGTATTTATAAATTCGTGTTTTACATTATTCATTTTTTTTAAAGTCGATTGTTTTTACGGTCTGTCAACATGAATATATGTATATGTCTGTGAACATGAATAATTTATATAAATATATGCACCCACTTTCCCATGCTGGCGACGCCACTGTCCACATTTCGACATAAAAAACATTGGCTGCTAAAATATTATGTATAAACGTTTATAATGGTTCTTGCTAAACATTATTTTAACAAAACAAGCAGCTATATTCAAAATGTAACTCCCGCATAAGCATATATAGTGGACACTTCAATTGTCCATACCTATTTTTATGTGATGTTGCTATGGTTTTTGTGGTAGTAAAACCACCGAAATTGCATATACTTCCCTTAGTGGCGTCACTAGCACGATAATTTTTGAGTGAATATTCATATATCCAGTTCTGCCCTGCGGCTTTTTTTGTCAGTGCATGACTTACAATAGATATCCGTCGGGCAGAACTGAATATATCAATATTCACCCCCCAATTATCGCTCTAGTTACGCCCCTGCTTACCCTAGTCCTATTAGGACTTGTCAATTCGTAATAATCAAAATCTTTGTGCCGATGAAAATCTTTTTCAGGCATCTCTGAAGCAATATCTTGAAGGAATTCACAATTTTTCTCTGAGTTTGAGCATTTTTTGAAATTAGTAGATCTGCACGCTTCGTTATCACGGGCACAAAAGTAAATGCATTCTACTCCCGTTCCTGCGTGGACTTTTTCTATCACTTTGCTGTTCAAACGACGACCTTTGGAATAATAGTTAAAAAAGAAGGTAAAAGTACATTATGAATTATAATGCAAACGAAAATTGTTGATCTTTCTAATCGAAACTTTTCGGGGTAGCACAGAAGGAAGTAATAAAAACATGGTTAAATATTTATGAAGGCGTCTTGCTAATGTAGTCCGTGTGAATTCTTAAGAACTAGACGTAGAATCCCAATTAATTTAACACAGTGAGAGGTCATTGTGAAATTGCAGTTTAGTTAATAAATGTGACACGGATATTTGAGTTTTGTGCAGAAATAGTGAAACATATATGTACTCGTAACTAATAATTTTCTAATATCGAAATCCCTGAATAAAGCCCCTTAAAGTTCTTTATGAAATACCATGGTCTCTTTATAGCTTTCAAATTCAGCTAGGAGAAGCCTAGCCGAATTCATATTAAAAACGGGAAACTCGTTCTAATGTGAATTTAGCCGTTTGGATGGGGTCCCATCTAGACGAGAGACTGGCCTTAAATTCGCATTTAGACGGAAAATGAGACGAGTTTCTGAAATATAAACATGGTCAAGGACGGAACAAGGCTAACGGAAAGCAAACAAAATATTTATCGTAATAATTACAATACCCTTTTTAGCATTACCCGACCTATCACACGTATAAATTTACCCATTCCTATTTATATTTAGACGGGTTTTTACCATCAAATTTCTAGTCTAAGATGAGATTCCCGTCTCTAATATGAATTCGGCTACTCACGCAGCTTAAGAGGCAAGGTTTGCTTCCACGCAGCGATTTGCATGCCAGTTGCTTTAAAGAAATTATTAGCATTCACAGATATAACTGTATTGTTGAGGATGTGAAAGCAAAATTAAATATTTTTTACAATACGCACCTTCATTTGGTCCTTGAAAGCAAAAATCAAAACCATAACCAAACGTTTGGAGATTCAGGAATATCAGCAACGAAAGACTGACTTTGACGAATGCACGAAGCAAACGTCTTGGTTGCATAATCAATTCCATATTCACTGGTTGTTTTTGTTGGACAAGCGACATGTTTGCCGTGAGTGGAAATATTTTATCTTAAAGTAACTTGGTCTGCCTGTCTGACAACAAAAACGAAAACTTGTAAATGTGATGTTTCATCTGCGCCAGTTAAATGTACGCGACACAACTAGCTGTTTTGTTTTTCAAATTAACATTACTAACATATGCCATTTTGGCTTTTACAAAACTTATTCATTTATACTTTATTTGTTTAGATAATTAAACAGGAAGCTTTCAGCCGTGAAAAAAATCAACAAATTAAGACAGTTTATTAAAGTTATTAAGACAGAGGGGCGTAACTAGAGCGATAATTGGGGAGGTGAATATTCATATATTCTGTTCTGCCCGACGGGTTCCTTTTGTAAGCCATTGCACTGTTTGTAAGCCATTATACCTTTTGTAAGCCATTGCAGAACTGGATGTACGAATATTCACCTCCCCAATTATCGTTCTAGTTACGCCACTGTTAAGACATGCATATACAGGGTGTCCCAAAAAAAGTAACACGAACTTACTATGGCGATTTTTTTGCGGATTTTGATCCCCTAAACTAAAGAGAATTTTAGCCCTAGCCCCAAAATTCTCTGCGCGGCCCTGAGTAAAAGTTTTGATGCTTTACGCGATTGAGGGGCCCCGCGCTGAAGATACTTATAGTGAAATAAATATAACTGGCGTGAAGAATGCATGTTCGCATGAATATATATTGTGGATGTGTAATTTATTTTAATGTTTACAAATAATGTGCACGATTGTGTTGAACCAAATGTTCTTTTAACTTGTTTCGTAAATTTCAGGGCCTGAAGAGGCTTCTTCGATATTGCATGCCCATGCTTTGAACATCAAATTATGAGGTCGTTGAAAACCACACAAAATTACCCACGCCAATATACCCAGGTCACCTGATTGATATTTATAGGTATTTATGAATATATGAACAGGACAAACTTTTCGACAACGATTGTATATATGCAGAGTGTCCCATGCAGTAAATATATTTCATGTTTTCTGAAATTGTGCTAAATATATAGCTGGTTTAAATAAGTAAAATCCAATTATTGCGATGTCTACATATATATGTTTCAAAAATTGGCAGTTTTGAAGTTTAAATGCTGTGGCGATGTTAAAAATCTTCGTAGATTTCTCGACTGTCAACAATGTCTTTCATGAGCCGTCTGAGAAATTTAAAACGCTGTCTGAAAAGGTCCATTTTACGTTCAAGCTAGGCCACTCGTGTTTCACCTGTGGCTGTGCTTACACGAAAAATTCATACACGTTGAAGTGATTATTGCATGCAAATTTTTTCATTTACAACTTACAAGCATATCATATTGCAACTTTGAATTTTGTATTTATCATGCTATAATAACACACCGATTGCCAGACAGACAGTTCAAACATCAAACAAACGTTGAAACATTAAACACACGAATTTGATCGTAAATTGTTATTACTGAAAATTACTAAGGGTTTATCTAAATGAGTGAAAAAAATAAAAACACCTTTATTTACAACATATCACATTGCAATATCTGACAAGACGACTCAAGTTTCAAACACGTATGCAAATTATGCCATAACTAAATAAGTTATAAAGTTAGCATTCTTTTAAGAGAAACAAATTTTCACTTTGTCCGCATATTAATTATATTACAAATTTTTAATTGTTGACTCAGTTCATATGCTTTTAGACTTGTTTATCTTGTAGCAAGATGATTGGCAAGCTTCTTTCTCTTTCGTGCAGTGCGTAAACTCCATTCAAGAGGCTATTTCGTTTGACCTTAGCCGCTAAAATAATTAAGAACTAAATTTCACGATCTCAGCATCTCATATTTTAGATAGTTATAGTTGCTATCTGTACTAAAGTAGAAAGTTATTACCTCCACGCTTCCTTAGTGTGTAAATATTAGCAAAATATTCACGTTTGGAAGAAATTATAGCGATATTCTCTGTTTTATAACCAACTGTTTGTATAAATGTCATATAATTATTGCCGGTGATAGTTCGGGTCCATTTGTATAGAAAATTCTCATATCATTATCATGAGTACTTAAATATTTATTTCATTGCGTAAGCGCCTTTTTTGCAACATTATTTCGAAATAGACTTTGATAGCTTTTTGATTTGCTAATGATATTAAGAGAGTATCATCATATTTTTTATAATTACAGAAACTGTATCTACCGTTGGGCATGAGAGTATTGTGGCGTAGAAACCGTGGGCTTCTAGAGGAGCTTACCATGCCCCATGCATTCAGTGTAAAATACATATATTATAATGAAATATATTTGGAGGCAATATATGCGGAAGAAAAATTTTTTTTGTGCATTTTATTTTAATAAAACAGATACAGTCATTATTATGAAGATATAAATCTATATTATCAGTCATATAGTCTAAGGTGATGCGCACAGCCTGGGTGCTGCGTCCATACAATATTTTACGGGTATTATCAATCAAAGCCTTATTTGTGATGATATTTTTGGAACGCCTAGAATTAGCGTGCTAAATGTTTTAAATGTGTATATAATGTCACCGTTTATGGAAATTCGTAATCTTTGACTATATAAATGCTCAATATTTTTCTACTATCTGCCAACTATAATACACGCGTACAAACTATGCAAGAAATTGTCACGTTTTTACAACCCATAAGTTAACTTAATCATGACTAGAAGGTAACGTTTTATTTTACTGGTTGATTATTTAACAAGAATGTATCCAAACGTTGCCAAATTCTTATCACCGTTATCGGGATACTGCGTAGCAACATTTCCACAAGTCCATCCAGTGAACTTTGCTCCATAGCCAATCCAAGAATCACAATCTTTGCAATGGTTCTCGTTATTGGCTTGGAATCCAATTCGTATTCTGAAAACGGTATTAAACCCTTCCCTGTTGCAGTTTCTCTGAAGTGACGAACCCGCGATAAGAGATTTCCATGCTGCTCTGCCAGCGGTCGTTGCCCTAAATTGGCCGTCTGCGATCACACTGTACAGTGAAGTTGCGGTGTAGTCGAGGGTCATCCATTTTCTGGCATTCTTATACGACATACCCAGGCAAATCTTTGTGAACGGAGTATTCCAATACGAAGCCAACTTGCTTTCTTTCTCTGTCAATCCTTCCAGACCATCTTGTGCTGCGTATGTCTCTTTGTTTGTCCACAGGGAAGAACGATACATAAATGTTCTCTGTAAAGTTGAAAGTTCTTCAAAATTATAAGTTATCATTTTCGTTAGTCGTTACCAATTGATTATTAGAAGTTATTAATATGCATAATATATGATCTTCATGACTAAGATCTAACCTTAGTCCCATCAAGCTTCATCACTAGGGTCCAACCTCCAACGCCACATCCTGGGATATCTGTCATGTGACAATATACCTTATATGGTGGTGAGGAATGATTCTTCTGTAAGGTGTAGACACCATTGGGCAATGATCTAGATATGTAATATTATTAAATACTTACGTGGTGTGCCTAGAAGCTAATTTATTTATATTGTGATATCACCGTGCAAAATTACAAGGTTATTGCTATATGATAGATATGGTTATAAAAAATTCTGCTGGAATAATGGTTGATATCTTTTTGATTTACGTATTCTGTTCAGCAATGATCTAGACATGGATAGTAAATACTTACGCGGTGTACTTAGAAGCTAATTTATTTATATTGTGATATCACCGTGCAAAATTACCAGATTAATCTAGATATGGTTATAAAATTTCTGCTGAAATAATGGTTGTAATCCATTGACTGCACGTATCTTTTCAACTTACGTATTCTTGACAAACAATTTTTTGCAAGATTGAGGCAAATCTTTTTGTTGTTTTCCTGAAATCGTAAATATAGAATATAGGGGATTATGGTTTTCATTTTGGATGCAATAACTTCAAAAATTTAAATTACCTGTCAAAATATTTTTTTCCTGCTTCAACCGAACCTATAATAGCGACAAGAATAAAATATATATGAACCCGAGTTCTCGTTGTCTTAAATAAGTTAAATTACATTAAAAATTAATATTCATAAGCCTGGTTCTCATGTGTCATATGAAGTGCTTTCAGTGTTATTCTGAAAAAATATTCTTCCTCACCTGCTGCAGCAATACGTCGCTCACTGTCGGTGACATATGAGAACCATTTTTTACTTAGAAGAAGCTGTACACAGTATTATAAATACGTAATATCAAGGTAAATTAAATAGCCCATTTGTTTGGCGCGATGGGCTTTATTGCTTAAAGGCGGTTTTCCTTTACGTCCGTTTGCGAACCATGCTTTGTTTTTCAAGCCCATTGCGCCCGCATGAGCACATTTTCAAAGCCTGAAACGGCCTTGGCATGATTTCCTCGTTTGAAATTATTTAATGTACTAACTTACATTAAAAAGAGCCGATGACGACAACATCTTAAGACGGAGTACGCATTGCATCATGAACCGCGTACACAAAAATGTTTAGAAGTTAAAAGTAAATAGGATTTCCCGTTGGGATTATTTAATTATTTTCTTTCGGTATTTCAAAATTAAGCAAGTGCCAACTTTAGAAACCCTTCGAAGACAGCGTTTTAATTCATTCTAGACGCAAGAACTGCGATAATTGACGAGGTTTGTGTCGGCTGTGACGGTATTAGAATGGTCCAAGAACTGCCTTCTTTCTTTGTGAAAGAAATTTCCAGCGAGAAACACTCTATACTTGTCACATCACTCCGTAATATTTCCACGAGAAACCAAAATCAAATCTACGCTGCTCGTCGTTATAACCAAATAATATATAAAAAATTCATGCTTATACTTACTGGTTTGATTATGACAAGATGGTTGAATTCCAAGTTGATTTCTTCATCATCATCGTCTTCATTTGTCTTATTGTTGAGCTCACAGCGACCTTTATCTTCACTAGAAGTTTTGTAGTTGATTGACGAACATGATTCATGACGAGCGCAAAGCAAACCGCATTCAAACTCAAACTCAGCTTGTTTTGTTTCGATGACATGATTTGCCAAGTATTT